AGTTGGTTGAAAAGTGTATTTAATTCTTTAAAACCAGCCGGCAATAGTTATACACGTAGAGCATAATTAAGTGTCTGGCCTAAAAAATGAATTATTTTAGCAAAGTGAGAAATGTTGTTATAAACATCGTTTGTCAATAAGAAGTCCTCGTTACAATCCTTGGTCGATTATTAGGTCCATATGTATTTGTGGTTTGGTAACTCCATATAATTAATTGGGAATCCAATACAACATGGTGTCAATGCAGTTTAAGACAACAATGAGAGCAAAGCAAGTGGTAAATGAATTATGAAATCAAGCTTAAGCTTAATAGTTTTGAAGGCTGAAGAGGACATGGTCCTAGAACAGACTCAGTCCATATTTTAAAGTGCAGGATATACCAAACTAAACTAACCAAGAACATTGTTTTGAAAACTCTTTTAGTTTAAAAAATGTAAACATTGAATATAAGTGGATGCGTTTTGTGACTTTGTTATGTTTTATATTTCCACTCTTCGTATACATCGGATCAATTAGAAAGCATCAATCAAGAAAAAAACCATTTTTTTTACTCTTTTCAGCACGGAAAATACAGGTGTCAGGTGACCCCAACCTGCACGGAATTTTGTTGTTGTTGAAATGTTTGTAAATAATTTATAATTTGTGTTTAGAACCATACTAAGTTTATAAGGTTATATAAAACTGCATTAGAATTTTTTTTTATCAGAGTTACACATATGTAACACCGTGCAGCAAATGGAACATATTTTATTGAATCCCCTAAATATTAAAAATCAATTTAGAGCTTTTCTTTGGGGATATCATAAATACAAATGCAAATTACAATATAAGAAAGTATATATTTTACACATATTCAATATAAAGCATTACAACATCATATGGAGACCTGAATAAATAATGTAGCAAAAAAATCACACACTGATAAATGTAAAAAAATTATAAAATGTAAAAGTTACTTAGCCAAAACAAAGTAATATAAAGGCCAATTTATATTTAAGTAATATAAAAATTAATTTAAAGGCGGGTTTCAATAAAAAAAAATTCCAATATGCCCAAACTTTATATTAAATTGTAATTACATAAGAAAAAACTATCAATATCGAGCCAAAAATATGAGAAACCCTATTTATAATTTCATATTATTTATAAAAATACATAAACGCAATTAAAATTAAGTTTCTGAAAGATTTTATAGTTAATTTATTATTTATGGATAGATACATTTGGAACGCTGAGCTGCATGGTGTTACATTTGAGTAACGCACTTTGAAAAATCAAAATACATTCTAGTTTACTGATTTTATGACTCTGAACTATTATAAAGGACGCTATTATAACAGTACATTACAAAACAGCATATGAATTATATAAGCAATAACAACATATCTTTCATTTGCATAAAAATAAAGACGGGATCTTGGGCACGAGTCTTTCACCAGGAACAGCTGTTTTCTAGGAGTTATTTGTCAGAATGTAAACAAATGGATGGTGCTGCCACCGAGCAAAGGTCCATAGTACTAACATTTAAAGTTTCCAGATGCATAGCGCTACTGGTCTCGTTTACAAAAAATAAAATGTCTCGCGTTACAAAGATGTAACACCCTGCAGCAAAGAAGTCAAAAAGTCCGTTACATAAATGTAACACTGTGCTTGAAAGAGTTAACTAAAAGAAGTTTTATCAACTTCAATCACGATCCTATTTCATCACGCAATATTTTAGCAGTACACAGTCGTAGTTTAACCCACTAAATAAACCTCCACTCTATTTTTACACCCCTTCGACGCCACCTGACCCTACCACCCTTGCCCACAAAGACAACTGCTACAAATTCTATCTCGTTTTGATTCAAAAAGCGACTGCTACAATAGAGTTGGATTGGGGCCTGTTAATACACAACCAGTGGTGAGTCAATGAGCATCAGATGAATAACGAGTTACCCCATGGTGCCAGGGGGGGGGGTAACAGGGGTTGTTTTGGGGTGAGTCCATCTGGTGTGGTCGAAGCGTATGGCACACCTGCCACAGAATATGCCACTTGTCTACGCCAATTTGTGGATCAATATTTGATAGAAGGTTAGTGGAGCTGGGTTTGTAGGGCAGAAGGTCCTGGCAGGTCAAGGGAAAGAAAATCTACATTTTGTACCAAGGTGGTTTAGACGACTTTGGTAAAGACAATTTGCAGATTTCAATTTCGTTGTGGCAAATAATAAACAGTTTTTTCATTCATTTTTGTGGGTCAACTGAAGATGATTAGCATGTTACTATACCATTTATTTTGATTGAGCTTTGTTAAATGATTTAACTCCTATTGTTATTACTATTTTGATATTGATCTAACATGTTTGTGTTTGAACTGCATGGACTATTTTAGGGATTAAGACGGGTCACTTTTGATCATGTTTTATGACATTTAGGACCAAAAAAAATTCATTTTTGAAGTAAAAAAACTTTAAGAATACGAAAAAATATATTAAATGCCAACTCGATGCAATTCACCTTCTTGCCAAATTCCACTTATACATCCACTGTTTTTAAGATGGGCTTCTCAAAATTTTACTCTGTCTCAGACAGGGTGAACTCCTGAGTTACAAACCAAAACTGACTGAGGAGTAAGGATATTTCTTGTACTCCCATATACCGCACAGTTGTAAGTGGAGGTTTGACCAACTCTTAAGTCCAATATCGTAATTTGCCTTCAAAATTAAAATATTATTTGATAGCTATTCTTCACCACTTATTATAACCAAGATTGGGGTAGTGAAGTGATTATAATGTCTTCCTTCGAATTTGACAGATGATTGTTCGATTGCAAGCGATGTCGATTCTAGACTCAGATTCAATTTTGTTAATTTATCAGAAGATGAGAGAGACGCATTTTGTGGATATCAGTGCACCAAACCCAGTTTTAGATTCTACAATATGGTAGGACTATAAATCAATTTGCCATATTTAAAGACAATATTAAACGACTACTCAAAGGTACAGTTCCAAGCTAACTCTTTTGGCCCAGTGCTTTACCATGTACGTTTATAAACTCTAGATTACAAAAAAAAATTAATAAGGTCGATACCTTTTAATGATTATGCTCATATTTCTCTCAGTGACTAGTTTTAGCGCATAAGTGGGATTATCGGCAGGCTTTTATTGGGAACGTGTACGTTTGTCACCTGTTGAAGACCGAAATTTGTTAAAACATCGAAAAGTATGATTGGTTCATTAGTGTGAAAGCTTGTTTGGGGTACATTAGTGTTAATGTCCAAATTACCATAGCTAGGCGTTGAGTGAAACATTTTAATAAAAATTTACAATTGTTTATCGAATTTTCTTAAACTGTCAAAAAATATACCTCCCCAAACACTTTGGAAATTTGAATTCATATAATTTATGATGCAGTGAACTTATGATCCAGTGCTCGAAGTGAAGTTTGGTGCCGACCTACGAGCGTTACTCGTACTATACGGCCGCTGCAGGCCCGGAGGCCAACTTACGAGTGCCGCTCGTATTTTATTATTCTAATTTCCCACCCTTTTTGTTTCTTCTTACTGTTATTATGTTTATAAATATCTTGCTTATTGTTTTGTGTATTTACTCATTTTTTTGCGAATAACAAACAATGTCGTGTTGCCATGGAAACCAGATATCACAAAAAATAAGCTGCGGTAAGGTAAACAAACAATTGTTTTTCTATGTTTTAGCGAATTTCCCTATAGGGAAGTAGCTATTACCGTAGGTCTCATGGTAAGACTTAGGCCCGGGACCGATTTACTTTTTCATTTTAATGTCCCCAGAGGCCAAAAACACCATTCGTTCAAATTTTTATATATGTATATATATATATATATATATATATATATATATATATATAGGTATATATATAGATTTATATATATATATATGTGTCCGTGAACACGATAACTTGAGTAATTTTTATCCGATTTTGATGAAACTTGGTTTGAAGGTGTAAGGCGGGATAAACTTGAATGAGTTCGCGATCCAGCATGATCGGACCATGGGAACAGGGTTTTATGGGGGGTTTTATGGGGTAAAAATGGGTTTTTCTCACTTTTTACCCTCAAAACACAAAATTTCCCAATTTTTCTCTAAACCTTCTTAAAGAGCTTAAAAAAACAAACAATTCAGTATATCAAAGTGTTTTTGTACGGTTATTGGTTACGGAGAAAACTAAAAAAATGGTAAATTTAAAATTCCCATGTTATTCTTATGGAGAAAATTGTAAAATGTTGTAGTTTGCTTGTTTATGGATATATTTTGATCAAAGTTGGCAAATTTATTTATTTTATAGTAAGCTATCAATATTTTACTAAAAACACACTACTTTATTAGTTTCCTTGTAGCAGCAAACCTAGGTACTCGTTAAACCTAATAATGTTATTTAAATAGATCAATTGAAAATCAATTCGGACAAATGGAAATTCGCTTAGACGGCAGGTTTGCTGCGGCGGGGGTATTTACTAATATACTATAATTCTATAATATAATTTATATAATTCTATATATTCTTATAATTCTCCTATAATTCTATGTTTTACTAATATATAAGTACACAACTTGTGATTTTCATACGTAGGGAATCGATTGAACTTTTTAATAGTAGTAACATTTGGTGTCTAGATTAATCTCGGCATTTGTAAATCTAGTTTACTTTCAAAAAATTGGTTTTAAAATGTTTATTTTTATAATCTTTATAATTTTAGTTTTTTGTTTTTTTACACTATGACGGTCTAATTACCACTTTTATGTCGACAATTTTACTGTGAACAAAATGGTGAAATAATTATAAATTTATTACCTAAGGTTTTCTTTCTATAACAATTAGAGGAAAAGTCTACAAATTCGGTAAAATTAATTGCCGACAGAGGGTGATACAAGCAGCACATTAATTCCTTCCCCAATCGGTTATAACTGTCACAACGTAAGTCGATATACATACTACATAAGCTAATAGAAATAAATTTAAACCATAAAGAATGTTTACTCACAAATAGTCTATTCCAAAACATGTGTCGGTCGAAGAACATGCTGAAATCGGCCATGTTCGCGGCTGCAGAGCTGTCGTCAAAGTGGTTACGTGTAGTTAGTTGGCTGTCACGGTGCGCGTATTTACGTAGTACGGTAAAACATATGTCCGCGTTCTCGAGTTTGTCAAATACCAACAGAGCTACAAAAACCAACTGCTAAGCGTAAACGAGTTATTTTTACCGCCCTTCCTCCCCCTTTTTTTCATAGTTGATATATTTATTTGAACAGATTGTAAAGGCTGTAATTTTTTCCCTATATTTCTTTGAAGAGTTTCCTTGTTTAACTATCTTTATGAAATATTAAGATTGTTAATATTCTAGGTGAGAATATTCAACATGGATTTCGTGGGTTTTTAGTTTAAGAAACATGATTATGGCAATTAAACCGTAGTAAAATTGGTACTTTTCGGATTTTATTTTGTTGTGTTGCCTAAAGGTTTACTTCACAATCACACTACACAATAAGTTAGGTGATTGATAAAGCAAACCTTGACCTACCCCTTGAACACACCGAGCCTTAAATAAATACACAAATCAAATAGTCTTTATTAACACGTTTTTCTGTAACACCTGCTTTCAGAACAGCTTTTGTCATTAAACTAATCAAAAACCTATTTTTACATTTTGGGCAGTTATAGCTTTATATTTCTACATTTTTACCATATCTCTAATCTTTTTCTTTATTAAATGTATGAACTAAAACCTTTTCTTAGTTGTTTTGATGCAATAACTTCTAGGCCACCAGTACATTGGAGGTCCAAAGTATGAAAATCTCTTCCTCCCAAGCTCTAAGGACTCTTAGTTGGTGAAGCTTCCCACCATGACGTGTCGCTGGGAAACTTCATCCCGACGAGAAAGCCTCTCACGTAAATAGTCAGGCTCAAAAAGAAACACTGGGGTCATGCAGTGCATTATTTACCTGTATGACCACACCGATTTGTTTTATGTCCGTATGTGTTTGCTTTCATATAGTCTACGTGATTTCGGAAACATTCTTATGACCTCTTAGGAGCAACGATTCTCTTCATGATGCTAGACAACAACGAAGTAAGTAAATGCAGCAATTAGCTACTTTGCGTACTATGACGTGCAACGAAGCCCACTTTGTCAGGTAACTGTAGGAAAAATTAATACCTTGCAGATCTGGACGAAAGTTTGCTATCGTCCCGTCTAGATGAAGAGTCCCAGTGGCCCTACACTAACCCACTTACAATCCCCCAGGGTGGTCCGCATATCGCAGAAATAAGTAAAAAGTATGAAGAGGGTCGCCGTGTTTTATAGCTAAAATTAGATCTGTCTGTCGCCAAAAGGAAGCGCAAACCTAATCTGCGATATTGGCCGGTCGACACTTCGATATTTCTTCCGAAAACGTTATCGAGAAAAGGGCTTGGTCTGACACCTTGGGGCTACATGTGAACAAACCGTTGTGTCTCTTATTTCGTTTGAATTTTTCAAATGATTAGTAGCCGATGGATATTGATACTAATTTAAACTAGCTGTTACCCACGGGCTTCACCCCGTTTGACTTCATAAGTGTTAATACACCTACTGATTGGTTAAGTTAAGCTGAAATAAACAAAACTGAATACAGTAATACAAACAAATAATCACACCTGATTTCAATAAGCTAATAACATTGACTATTAGCTTTGACTATTAATACAATAGTCAATGCTATTAGATATGTATTAATAGTCAAAGCTAATGCATTGAAAGAATAACAAACGAATAAGTACAGCTGATGTACTTTTAACATAAGGTAAATGGAAAGTTCCCTTTGGAAAGCAATTACGACCTTATAGGGCAAGGTTAATTTTGCGCAAGGTTTCTCGTCATGACGAACATTTTAAGTATATGGTTTATGGGGGTGTGACTTGTAGTTTTCTCAAAAGTTCATGGGTACTTTTGGCTTTAAAGTTCTCTTTATAAAGGAATTACGACCTAAAAGGGCAATTTATGAAATAATGGATAGTTTTGCGCAAGGTTTCTCGTCATGATGAACATTTTAAGTATATGGTTTATGGGGTTTGACGCGTAATTTTCTCAAAAGTTCATGGGTACTTCGGGATTTGTATATGGATGCCTGCTTATGGTAACTATTTTATGCAGCAACTAGTTCGGTGCAAGAATCAAGAAATGTTCATGGATTTTAAACAGTCTAGATTATAAATCCATTGAGTTTGGATTAGACTCATCTCCCAACAGGCTTACTACGTCTGGTAAAATTTGCAGATTTGTACTATCAAGTATGTTTGTTCGTTCTTGTGTGAGTGTTTGTGTTTGAATACGGCTTTAATTAGGAGCCAAAACTAGTAGCTGCATGCAAAGGGATTGCCTAGCAGGTATCAACATATTTTAATCTATTGTTTGTTGTGGCTTAAACTGTGAGGTTTTTGGTTTAGTTATTTTAATTATGGTGTGTCTCTATATGTATCATCTTTTGCTGCCTGTGACATTTTTTGTCTGCCTATTGTGATCCCGTTTTATTGATAACCCAGGGTTTAAACGGGATAAGGAAGCAGAAGAAATAATGAGATTCTTAAAATCAACGTAGAAAACAGTTCGTTATTGGTCATAAAACGACCCCTCTGCCTAAAACCGATAATCCGTATTCAGTTGAACATTTAAGACCCATATCAGTTCTCCCAGCTATGTTCAAAGTTCTTGAAAAGGTTGTTGCTGAACAGGTAGAGAGATATATTGAAGGGCAGGATATACTACCAAAGTGTCAATCTGGCTTCCGAAAGAACTACAGCACATGTACAGCATTGCTTAACTTATTCGGCGATCTTTACGAAGCTAAGGACAAAAATAAAAACTCCAAGCTTGTGTTCCTTGACTATTCTCAGGCTTTTGATTCTATTTGTCACGACATACTTGTCAGGAAACTAAAATACTTAGGTTTTGACAATACATCCTTGGATTGGTTTAAATCATATTTGGCTAATCGGACACAAATGACAAAACTTGGATTGAAAATGTCAAACGTCCTTCAAAAAAGTTGAGGAGTCCCACAAGGTAGCTGTCTTGGCCCTATATTATTCAATGTATACACTGCAGACATTGCAAATGTGGTAAAAAACTGTTCCATTCACATGTATGCTGATGACTGCCAGCTACTATATACATACAGTAAAAATGATGTGGACGAGGCATTTGAAATTGTAAATAAAGACCTTAAATCTGTGGAAGAGTGGTCCATGAGTCAGGGGCTGAAATTAAACGTTAATAAGTGCTCTGTTCTCCATGTTGCCCCTCCTGACTTGCAGAATGCACTAAAAATTGGAGTTTATGGTAAGATATCTCTTTCCGGACATGCCCTTGAAATATGTAGCCAAGTAAAAACACTTGGTGTCCTATGCGTGTCATAAGGCATTGGGTAGATTACGCGGACTGTATAGGCTTAGATACCTATTGCCTGAGGACGCTAGGGTCCAGATAGTCAAGTCGCTAGTTCTCTCTGCTATTGAATACTGTCTTCCAGCATATGGAAACAGTATATTAAAAGGTGACTGTAATAAAATACAGAGAACGCAGAATGCAGCAGTCAGGTTCATTTGTGGCTTAAGAAAAAGAGAACACGTAAGTACATTCAGAAGTGATGCGAAATTGCTGCCCATTGAAGTTTTTTGTAAGGCCTCTACTTGTGTTCTCATACACAAAACGTTATCCCTAGGTAAGCCACTCTACTTGAGAGAAAAACTGCCAGCCCGGCGGGACGTTTCTAAGTGCAGCACCCGACAGAACGATTTGTTGCACGTGCCTAAAGTCAGCCATGAGGTAGGTCGGAGAGCCTTTGCTTATTTCGGACCTAAATTGTACAACTCTGTCCCTTCAAAAATAAGAGAAAAAGGTTTAACAGGCTTCAAAACAAATATAAAAATGTGCTCATTTCACGTATAGCTTTTAGTCTTATGTACTTATTTTGGTTTTTAATTGTTTGTTAGATATTAGATGACGAAAGTTGTAAGAGAAAAACAGTTTTGTAAAATTGACTTAACGCCTGAACCAATAGAGGCAATTTTATTTATTTATTTATTTTAAAAAGAAACCTTATCGTTCCGAACAATTTTTTTAAATGTCGTCTATAACTTAACTGCATTTAAACCCAGTAAACTTTATTTTAAATTATAGATGTATATAATGTGGGTTTGTTGTTGTTCCACTAATTTTCTACATAAAAAATCTCTACCTTTACGAATACAACGAACATGCCCTGAGAGGATTTTAAACTAGATTACTAAGCCACGTATTGCCTGGAGCTCTGGTCCAACATTGTGTAAAACTTCAGCTCAGTTTGTTTTACACTTTGTATAATCGAACCTGAATCCTGATCATAATGATTTTGATCAGCCAGTGGTGTAAGATCCAGGCCAGTTTCAAGTAGACGGTGTTTCAGAAGACAGGTTTCATCATACAGACTGTAGTATGTTTTGATTTCACCAGGATCGAACCCATGAAAAGGCATTCACAAGAAACTTACTCTTTGCACAAAACCATGTATTGTTTTATTAAAAAGGGGTTCGCGTATTGTGTACATTATAATTAACCATTTATTTAATGATTTAATTACTTTATCATTAATAATTAAATATAGTATTATTAAATATTCAAATAATTATTAATCTACTAGTTTATATAGGTTCTACAGAAAACCTGAGATATTTTATCGGATGAAATTTCCGTTCGATATAAAAATCTGTTGAAAAATTGCATTCGATGCAATTTTTTTTATCTGTTATTGTAAAGGGTATATTCAAGAAGTGGGACGCCTGCCACGGTTGTACAATGTACAATGCGCTGGGGCTTTTAGGTTAGGTTAGTTTAGATCAGCTTAATTTATGATGATGACGAACAAAATATGATTTGAAAAATTTACCTATTTATAAATTCACAAAAAATAGCATAAGGTTACAAATTGACGTCTTTGTAAATTCATCTATTTACTCCAAACTGAACTAAGCTAACTTCACCTCACACAGTACAAAAGGTTCTTTTGTTAAATACCCTATGGCTGATATTAATAATAATAATGTTAATAATATCTTGTATTTTTTCACAAACGTTATGCTATGTACCT